AATCAAGGCATGTGTTGTCATGAGTCAAAAAACAAAATATTAAGGAGACATGGTTTTGACCGAAAAACAATGTTTTAGGAAAGTTTGCTCACGAGATTATCGCACAGGGTGTTTTAAAGATAGGGTAAAAATAACTCTTCGATTAACCCTGTATAATAAGTCCAATACTAAAGCTTATAATAAACTGAGTTTACGAATTAAAGTTTATATATTTATATACAGTTTGCGAAAAAATCACGGAAATAGAGCTAAAAATAAAAAAAATAAAACATTTTATACTAGACCAAGAAATTTTCCGTTGCGTTTTTTTGCATCTAAGTGTATATTAAAAACAGTAAACTACTGTTAGAAAAATAAGTAGAAAGAATAAAACTATTTCCCCTTTTTAATGAATAAATCTCTTTAAGTTTCTTTTAAATAAAGTGTAAGTGTAAAAATAGGAATTTTAGATGACTTTTTCTGTGACAAGAAATCGTTATAACTAAAGGAATTAAACTTCTTATCCTCTTTTAAGTAATAAATAATATATTCCCATTTTCTTTTAAATAATGGTGTAAAATAGGAATTTTAGATGTTTTTTTTTCTGTGGTAAGAAATCGTTATAATGATACATTTTTAATGTTAAATAAATATATTTAAAAAAAATTTTGAACGACTTTTTTTATTTTACCTCTAATACAGAGTGAGTCTTAAAAAAGTGCAAATATTTTCAGAGACAGTAGATCTCGATAAAAGAAGCACTTACTTTCCTAAAGTCCTAAATAACCGAGTAATTCAAGTTTCATTCTTAAAAAATTTTAAGAGCCACCGGATTTTTTCTGTATAGTTCATATCACGTGATTAACCGGCACAGTGTTGCCCACTTTTACATATTTTCTTGTAATCAAAATATTTCAGGAAACAAAAATAAATTAATTATAAATATATAAACAATTATTATTTACATCAACAAAACTCACCTTCTTAGTCGCACATAAAGGACATAAAGGGCCATTACTACCGCTTTCCGGTTCAAAATATTCTAATAGAGTTACTATTAGTTTTTTTACCGCTATTAAGCTATCTTGTACACTTCGCACTAAAAGAGGTGCTAAAAAGAACAATGTTCGACTGCAAGGTCAGCTAGTAAATATTTTTAAGCTTAAAGTATCACAACACAATTCATTTAAACCAAAAAAATCGTAATAGAAAACTGAAGTGTCAAAACGAATGACAATGTTAGAAAATAAATAAATGTGGTAACTTGATATTTTTACAGCAGCTACCACCTGAATTCCCAGCCCGGGGCCGAACATGTCTGTGGTTGGCAACAATGACAACAAAAGAAACAAACAACGCTTTATTCTGCAAAAAGCCAAAACAGCTTCATCGACAAAGCAATCACAAAACAAACAAAAGCACAAAAAAAGATATATACACACAACAAAAAATACACAATACAAATCATACAATTCAAAAAAATTTAAGTCATTATAATTACAAAAAGTACATATGGACAATACAATTGCAGAATAGTAAGCAGTAAATAGATATAATTTCAAGAGTTATAAAATTTTAAATTTTTTAAATACTTGACCTTTGACCAGTGTGTGAGATGATCAAAATTTTAAATCTCCTCCAGTAAGTATGATTTCAGAGTTTTGCGAAATGCGGGAAAGAATGAAACCGACTTGATATTCAAAGGCAGATGATTGTATAGTTTTTTGGCATTGTACAGTATTGAGCCTTTAACTAGTTCTGAGCTCGGGGTTGGCAGATAAAGATCGTGCTCCGCATTCCTAAGTGGATAGTTATGGGATGGCCTTTCGGGAATAGCAGATATGTGCTTGCGGATTAAGCAAACGAATTCAAAAATGAATAAAGAAGGAAGAGTCAGTATTTTGAAATTTTTAAAGAAATTCTGGCAGTGAGTTCTACTGTTCAGTCCCAATAAATATCGAACTGCTCTCTTTTGAAGTCTGAAAATACGATCAAATTTTGTTGCGCAGCAAGTACCCCTGAATGGAAGGGCATAACGAAGATGTGACTCAAAAAGGGCATAATAGGCTATTCTAGAGGTTGATAAGTTAAGCTAAGAATTTAAAAATCGCGCCCCCGATTATGTAGCTAAAAATTGGTATCAGATATATTTGCATACCCTTTAGTCTCGTAACTATAGAGTAAAGCCGTAACCATAGTAATAATCAGGGATTAAGATATTATACTGTAGGAAATTTTGTGGTGAACAGGCAATTTTTGCACATATACACATTGTTAACTGGATAGTTACTTATTGGGGAAAAGAATGGGCATCACTGCCTATTGAGAACGCATGCACTTATAAGGTTTTCTGCCGACTCGCCCTTTGGCGTCGTCTATCGACGAGCAGGCCGAGGTTGCCATATTTCAACCATAAAGCGCTTGCCGCGAGTAATAAACAAATTAACAACCTGTATATGTTACGGTTAAGGTCCGATGTAAGCTATAGTTCAATGTCGACATTACCCGGTCAATCTCGAGAACAACACACAACAAAACAACCAAAAACATAACCAAACCCAAACATTAACCTGTTAATGTCGACATTAACCGGACACCGGACTTTAACCGTAACATATACACAATACAATACAATTCACGATATTCCACATTTTTTTTACGAATTTTTTCAACTATCATTTCTTTGTGATGTTGTTTTTTAATATCACGAAGTGACTTAGGTGACTATTGTCGTAATGTTATATCGACACTAATTAGAAATCTATATTAAAATTTAAAAAAGCGTTAAAAAGTAACGATACAGCCTTGGTTTTAATAAATCTTAGTAACACTGACAGAACTAAGGATATTAAAAAAATAACTGTAATAACTAAGTCTACAAACAAATAAAAACCTTGTAAAAAACACTCTTATACTTTGCATTGCTTCCCCAGCTGTTATAACTGTCTGTAACTGTTGCCACATATACACAATACAATACAATGCACGATATTCCACATTTTTTTACGAAAAAAACCTCATAGACGTGTTACTAGGGTCAAAAAAAACACCCCTAAAAATATAAGACTCACCCTGTATAAATCAACAACCCCATAAAGGTTTACATTAAATTGAAACTCGAATTATATTAAAATCATTGAAAATATAAGTACATAATTAACACCGTGAGGACTATGCTACAGCTCGAAGACTGTGGCCAGTGATAGATAGCAAAAATACTAACCTATTAGAGCACAAAAAGAACCTAGTACGCATAATTGTAGGTGTCATCACTGGAAGCTGTCCCACGGGGGCAAACCTCGTGAGATGGAACATTTCCAACGACGACTACTGCAGAGAATGCGGAGAGAAAGAAGAAACCATAGAGCACCTGCCGTGTCACTGTCCGGCACTGGAATACCGACGTTTTAAAATTTAAGGCAAGGTTTTTTGGAGGGACTAGAGTAAGCAGCGGAAGCCAACATCAGCGACATCGGGAACTTTGCAAAGAACTGGAAGTGCTTTAACGCAAAAAAAAGATGAGAGGAAGGTTTGGTACAATAATACATAATTAAAAACACAAAAAAAAGAAAACATATATTTATAAATCTTAAAAAGCATTACAAACTAATCATTCTTCTTCTCACTGGACACTACAGGCTTTGGTATACTGCTACACGCTACACACCAGAAACCCAACCAATTAGAAATAAAGATTGAGGTTACTACGGTGTATAACCAGTTGCATGTAAATGATCATAAGGCTGTCTAATTAATAGTCTGCACTTAAACGAAATTCTTAAGTTTTATTACATCAGCTATAGATAACCCATGCACTGGTGTAACACCCTGTAGACTGTAGACCTTGTTCGAGACACCATTTATTTGAATAAAGTTCTTAAAACAGCCCGCAAATCAAAATTAACAAATGTATGTAAAACATGTAGATCATACCATGATAAATTATGATCGTCATACAAGTAAAACGAAATAAGTTGACATACAGGGTGAATTTTAAATAAGCGCAAATATTTTCAGGGCTGGTGATCATATATTACCCTCTACCGTTTTATAAATAAGTCCTAAATAACAGAGTAATTCAAGTTCGAAAAGTTTTAAAGAAATGTATTTTTAAAAAATTTTGAGAGCCACGGGATTTGTTCTGTATTGGCATCCCTTTCAGTGCCGTAACCATGGTAAATATTTGCACTTATTCAAGACTCACCCTGTATTACAAAATCTTGTAATATTTGAATATTTGTGATGTATATTATGATGTATAATTTTCTAAAAGGTAGCTTCGAAGTAAAACTTAAAACAAATTATTCGAGATGTCACAAAAATTCGTCTTAGATTTTATATAGTTTATTAGAATTATTATATAAGGCAAAAACATTAAAGCTAATTCTCGTCATAAATACTCATCTATTGTAAATTAACTTGCTAAAGTAAGATAAACATATATAGCAAAGAAAAATAATTAGAAAGAATAAAACTTTTTCCCGTTTTTAATGAACGTTCTTTTAAATAAAGTATAAGTGTCAAAATAGGAATTTTAGATAACTTTTTCTGTGATAAGGAATTGTTATCACTAACGGAAATAAACTTGTTATCCTCTTTTAAGAGCCGGTTCTAGAAAGCAAGTATACAGGGTGTTTCAAAAAACATGTGACATCTCTCGTGGGGAGATTCCTCACGTAAAAATAAGATTTATTTTTCATATCAACATGGGTTCGATTCTGCTTTGTTTCGTAACTACATGGTATTAAAGTCTTAATAATCTTTCGATTTATTATAATTTTCTTCCAAGTACATTTAGTGATTTGAATGAAATTTTGAAGTAAAAGTTACTATATGTGCTACATATTTTAATGCTAAAAAAGTGTCGACATATTTATCAGTGACGTGCATATGGGCTATCAGTGGAATATTTTTCAAAAAAAACATGTGCGCCACTGAATTCGTCATTGCGTCAACATCAGCGACATCGGGAACTTTGCACTTTGTTTGGTACAATAATACATAATAAAAAACACAAAATATAAAGAAAGAAAACATATATTTATAAATCTTAAAAAGTATTACAAACTAATCATTCTTCTTCTCACTGGACACTACAGGCTTTGGTATACTGCTACACGCTACACACCAGAAACACAACCAATTAGAAATAAAGATTGAGGTTACTACGGTGTATAACCAGTTGCCATAAATCATAGAATCTGTAATACTGTATAGAATCGATTGCTCGGTAGCATCGACGGCTCTGAACAGCACCTCTTTTGCATCCTCCTGCTTGAACATCAATTTAGTGTTAACGAGAACGACGATAAAAAGAATAGTTGCCGGATGGACAATTAACCAAAATAATTTTTGGATAGCACTGTAATACCTGCAATTAATTACATCATTAGTTAATCAGAATTAATTTTTTAAAGTCTCCTATAAAGCTATAGTGTATACCTTTGAATAAAAAGACTAAGGAAGGAGTATATCAAAAATCTTAGATCCACCGCGATGGGACTCAAATATGGCCGACTTAAATTCCGGTTTATTAGTGCCGTTGTAATTTTATTTAAAAAGTGTAAAACTATGACGTGGGGTAGACTCAATAATTTGTTGTTTCATTTGACGTTGTGAATAAATTTTGGTAGTTAATTAAAATTGTTATAAAAATATATAATTTTAATAAAAATAGATAAGTTATAATATTGTTTTATTTAATCTTTGACAAGTAGTAAATAAAAGCAAAAATGCAAGAAAAAATATATAATTAGTTAATTTAAGTGAATTTCATAAATGATCGGTTTACTACACGTATGTATATTATACAGACCGGACCACCGTAGTAGTAACATAGGCAGAACCGGACGAATTAGCGTATACCCGTCCGCCGGATAAAAAGCAGGCGAAAAAATGCGATAAAATAAAAATAGGTAGATATGTGATAAGCATGTTTCAGAATTTGTATTTATTCGTGTTTTAATAGCCAAAACGAATACATAAATTCTCGCGACAGCTCTCGTGTAAAATTTATTTTTTAAGTAAAATAATGGATGTTTACGAAGTTCGTGAGAAAATTCAATTGTAAAATGGTATTACCAAAATAGATATATACAAACAATTTTTCCACAAACTTTTGTAAACAGGCCAATTCCATCTTTACCTACTATATCAAGAGTTATTATTAATTTTGAAACACAAGGGTGCGTGTCCCCACAAAAACACAAAAAGCCTGATTGTGTTGATTAATGAAGAACAGGAGATCCGCGATAGCACAAATGAACACTTGCTTTAAGTGTTCATTTGTGCTATCGCGGATCAAAATCCCCCATTTTCAAATAATCAAGTTGCTGAGGTAAAATACAAAGTGTATGGTCATAATAGGGCTAATAATCTGGATGAGCTTCAAGTAAAAATACGAGAGGCTTTCCAAACTATTAGCCCTAATATGTTAGCCAATGTCAGACGGGGATTTTACGACCGCCTAGACTTCTGTCTAGCACAAGAAGGTGGTCTTTTTGAACACTTGTTATAACTTTTTTTTACTTGAGTAATATTTTATTTTTTTTAATTTTATTGATGTATTTTTTAATTTTGGAAATGAGTTTTGGGTTTAGAGAATTTATTTATTTTTAGTTTTGGCTTGTAAACACACTCAAATAATAAATATTTAAGTATTTTTATTTTAAATGTTTCCTTAAGTAAAGGTAAACACTTAAAATGAAAATAATAAATACTCGGCACTCCTCGTGTCGTATTCCTAGTCTGTCACGACCGACCCGTCCAAGTACAACTTCAACTGCCTACTGCCTGACAAGCCGACTAGCCGGCAGTGAATCTCGAGTACGAACGCAGTCAGGTAAACGCAAATTCGTCCGGCAACTTGCTATGTTACTAGTAGCCTGGTCTTCTCTGTACTGTTACTGTACACTAGCGAAAAGTTATTCCATTATTTCACTCTTTTTTTGACCGAGATTAGTGTCACAATAGTGTCATTGTTACAGTCGCAATAGTGTTACTGTTAATTTAAGTTCTGCCACAATTTCCTTCTTGATTTACTACCTTTATACAATTATCAGTAGTAGAATAACTAATAAATAACATAAAATAAGCTCAGTAAAGACTGACAAATCCACAAAATTTCAAATCAAATTTAAATGTGTCAAATGAATCGTCAAACAGAATTGTCAAGGAGTCCTTTTTCCGCCCACCATGCATGAATACATGGATAGCATTATGCTCCTTCCTTAATCTTCTTATTCAAAGGTTTATACCAATTAAACTTTTTGTCACGTGATTAAGCTGAACCGGCACAGCGTTGCCCACTTTTACATATTTTCTTTTAATCAAAATATTTCAAAAAACAAAAATAAATTAATTATAAATATATAAACAGTTATTATTTAATTATAAATATATAAACAGTTATTATTTACATCAACAAAACACATCTCCTTAACAGCACTTAAAGGACATAGAGGGCCATTACTGCTGCTTTTTCGTTTAAAATATTCTAATAAACTTGCGATGAATTTTTTACGGCTATCTTATACACTTCGGACTAAAAGAGGTTCTAAAAAGAACAATGCTCGCCAGCAAGGTCTGCTAGTAAAAATTTTTAAGCTTAAAGTATCACAACACTATACAGGGTGTTTCAAAACAAATGCGAAAAACTTCAGGGGGTTATTCCTTATTCAAAATAAAGGGTAGTTTGCAGTTTAAACGTTGGGTCAAAAGTCAACCATTAGGGAGATATCGCGGTACAAAGATGACGGAAAAATAATGTTTTTATTTTTATCTTGAAAACGAAAAGAGATAGACTAATGAAATTTTATGGAACCATTACTGTTATGAAAACACACTTTCTGGTAATTTTTTCATTTTTTTAAAATGAGTGGAAGGGGTTGAAATAAACTGCCCCTATCATTCTTGTTAACGAAATTTAAAGAAAAATCTTCTGAAACACATGCAAAAAAATTAATTTGGATAGTTTAGTTTGTTTAGAAACTTTTTTATCTCTTGTATTTTTTTGATAAAACTCACCAATTTGAAATTAAAAAATAAAATGTAAAGCATTACATGTCAGGACAAAAAACATTTTTAGATTAAGAATCTAGTGATAATAACGATAATAATAATCATCTAGATAATAACGTATTGCAGTAGAGTAATGTCAAATAAAATAATATTAGGAACATCCTAAAAAGTAACAGCGGCCGACAAGATTTTTTCCTAAAAAAATTACAGCAGCCCACTAGATTCTTGATCAGAAAATGTTTTTTGTCCTGACATGTAATGCTTTACATTTTATTTTTTAATTTCAAATCGGTGAGTTTTATCATAAAAATACAAGAGATAAAAAAGTTTCTAAACAAACTAAACTATCCAAATTATTTTTTTTGCATGTGTTTGATAAGATTTTTCTTTAAATTTCGTTAACAAGAATGATAGGGGTAGTTTATTTCAACCCCTTCCACTCATTTTAAAAAAGTGAAAAATTTACCAGAAAGTGTGTTTTCATAACAGTAATGCTTCCATAAAATTTCATTAGTCTATCTCTTTCCGTTTTCAAGATAAAAAATAAAAACATTATTTTTCCACCATCTTTGTACCGCGATATCTCCCTAATGGTTGACTTTTGACCCAACGTATATGAAGCAAACTACCCTTTATTTTGAACAAGGGATCACCCCCTGAAGTTTTTCGCATTTGTTTTGAAACACCCTGTATATTTAAACCAAAAACTCGTAATACAAAACTAATGACAATGTGTCAAAACGAATGACAATGTCAGGAAATAAATAAATAAATGTGGCAACATGACATTTTTTACAGCAGAACTACCACCTGAATCCCTAGTGGGAAATTTAAATTCCAGTTAGTCAAACCGGCGCTGAATATGTCCATGGTTGCCAACAATGAATTTATAAATCGCACCCTCGAGTACGTAACTAAAAGTTTAATTGGGGGGTATCAAGAATATAAAAATCAATCAGTAACATAAAAAAATTTAAATTAACATTAAAAAATAGGTACTTCAATTGAATTTTGGCTGTCTTGACGGTAATCATTTTGCTGAATAAACTAGCAGGTCATCATGATTTAAATAAAAAACGATGTACTTAAACAGCCGTTAAACGGTAGCCCACTAAAATGCCGTTAATAGGTATTGTGACGTCGTTCATGTCGGCGGAAAGTAATGCCTAGCTATAAGCATTTTGCAAGAGCACCTGTGGCTCCGTGGCTGAGGCTATCGCTTCGTGAGCGAATGGCCCGTGGTTCAAATCTCACGCCGACCATGACTTTTTTATATTTTTTTTTACTTATAGCGTGATCTTATTGCATTGGTTTCACTTTTTTTGGTTGGATTGGTTTAGTTATTTGGCGGGTTGGTTAGCGTGGTTATTTGGAGGGTGTTAATTCATTGGTTAGTTGGTTATTTCGTGACGCTGGTTGGTTTTTACTAATTTATATTTGTTTTTTATATTTTTTTTATCAGTGTCGAGGTTAGTTGCGTTGGTTAAGTTGGTTATTTGGTGGGGTGGATAGCGTTGGTTAGTCCTTATAAAATTCCTATATTTCATAAAGCCGTCAAGTGCGTCACATCAACGACGTCATACCTATTAACGGCATTTTATTAAGCTACCGTTTAACGGCAGTTTAAGTACAGCCAATAAAAAATATAGAGTTAAGACATAAAAACGACAATTATTTTGATTTAAGTCTTTTTAAAATTATTTAACACAAAAGAAAATTATTTAAGTCAAAGACTTAAGATTTAATTCATTTAGACTTTATGTTGAAATTGGCATAAGATTTTTATTTCATTTTGATTTTAGAAATGATAAGACCCTAGATCAGTTGGTTTTAAAATCCCCATATTAAAAAAAAATGTTAAATGTTTCCATCAAAAATTCCAATCGTTTTTGTATAAAAAAAATGAAAAAATACTGCCTTTTATTTGTGCTGCAACATTTACCAAAAGAAGTAGGTACCATTAGTAGCGTTAAGGGCACTAAAGAGCATTTAGTTTAAGAAAAATTTAAATTAATTTTAACAATTTGGTGTTGGTTGTTATCCTAGGCCATATATACTTATAATCTAAGAGCTAGCAACGTTTTCGAGAAAGTATCTTAAGACGTCCGGCTCTTTGATATATCTTTTACTATGCTCTCTGGAACAGCATGCGGTCTGGCTGCCGATACCCGTTGCGTTCACTACTGCGCATCGGAAGAAGATCCTATATTTTTTTATTTAGTCCTATAAATTCTAGTATTGAATATAAATCGAACATGTCTCCATAGCGCAGTGCGTAGAGTTTCCGACCACGAACCGATGATTCAGAGTTCGAATCCTGGTCAGGTCAAAAACTTTTTTATTTTATTTTAGTTTATATTCTGATAGTAAAGTATTAAATAATTCTGTGAATTAAATAAAAACAAATATTTAATACTTTACTACCAGAATATAAACGAAAATAAAATAAAAAAGTGTTTGCCCCGACCTGGATTCGAACTTTGAATCATCGGTTCGTGGTCGGAAACTCTACGCACTGCGCTATGGAGACATGTTCGATTTATATTCAATACTAGAATTTAAAGGACTAATAAAAATATAGGATCTTCTTTCAATGCGCAGTAGGGAACGCAACGTTTACCGCCAGCCAGACGGGCCGCATGCTGTTCTAGAGAGCATAGTAAAAGATATATCAAAGAGCCAGACATCTTAAAATACTTGTTTTTCCGACGTTACTAGCTCTCGTACTATTACGTGGATATATCAACGCCATAAGTTTAGCATTAAAAAATATGTCGCCAACATCACGACATGCCATTTTCAAACCTTCTTTATTGCACTTATAAAACGTTCAATAGGTTTGTCTTGCTCGAGGACCTTACTTTAGCCCCCCCCATGCGCATTAAAAGTTGCACATATTTCCAAAATAATCACAATTTTATACGGTTTAGAAAGTACAAATTATACATTGTTATGGAAACCAACTTTTCATTGTCATCATATTGTCATAATCTTATTTCCATTGTATAACGACGCTTGTTTTTTGCTTTTTTTATTTTAAAAATTGTATTAATTACTCTTTTATCGATCGCTTTTATATAGCCAAGGATGCAAGTGTGTTCAGTGAGAAATTAATTTTAAGTTTGTGCAACTATATTTCTATTTTTTTCGTTGGACTTTCTAAATGCTCGGAAAAATGACTAGAAAGTGTTTAGTGTGTGAAAGTTCTAATATAAAGGTTCCCGAATTATCTTTTCATAGGCAAGTAAAGTATTCAGTTGTTCTTTTATTTATATTAAGCCACACGCATACTTTCTGGTTAGATTTCCTGAGAATATTGATATTCGTACGGAGCGACTAAATGTATTTTTTATATAATTTAATTTTTGCGACAGTAAACATTCAATTTATTGTTCAAATATAAGCATTTTACAAATTAAATTTTTAAAATGAATGTTCAAATTTGGCGCGCGGACGATAGGTCCTCGACAAGGATAGATAGAGTAGAAGTACCGCGTGTGCAACAAAAAAAGAAGATAAATGGAAGTCGTTGATATGTTTGCGACAGTTTCCATAGTGACTTACTTATCCACGTAAGTATATATTATGATCTAGGGTTAAGACTTAAGATTTATGTCTTTTTCAAACTGACTTGTAGCAGCTAGCGGACAAACGTTACATTACAGTGCTAGGTTCTAGTCAATCTCCACTTTTAAAAGAACAATTTACAGAAAAAAAAACACTAAAGATCATCTCAAAAAAATTACAGGATAAAAAATAATTTCTTACTTGCAAGTGGTAGGCCGGATTAAGAGAGCAAACGGGACACTGAGTATTCCACAAATTATCCCTAACGAGAAATTATTCATAGCTAGACATATTAATGCTGTTCCCAACTCCAACAAGGAAATGATGCACAAGAAGTCCATGCTCGCAGAGCATCTTCTCAAACGTCCCAATACAAACGGTATAAATAACGTACTCAAAATAACTCCCAATAAACAAAGTACCACTGTATGGCTTACGTTAACCTCAAAATTGCTGGCTAGTGGTATAACCAGCTCAGGCAAAGCAGTTAGAAAAGCTCCAGTTAAATGCATAGTTACACTTAATATTATGACTCCTAGGTAGTTTATGTTTGGGACTGTATTGCCCACTATGGTACCTACAGCTGAAAAAAAAAATGTTAAATTAGGATGATTCTAGAAATTTCAATCTCTGGTTATTTTAAACACAATTTAAAATTAAACTCTTTGAATAAAAAGATTAGGAAAGGAGTATATCAAAAAACTCAAACGCGATGGGGATCAAAAATGGCCGACTTAAATTCTGGTTTATCAGTGCTGTTCTAATTTTATTCAAAACGTGTAAAAACATAATTGTAGCAGTTTTCTACGAAACTTTACTACGAACGAAAGAGAAGAGAGAGAGAGAGAGAGAGACGCGTCTCTAGCGCGATCTTAATTATACAAAAATTAATGCGTGGCAACTTAGGCCGATGTTCAGAGAGGACTGTGTTTTTGTCGCCCTGAAGCCCCTAGAAAGTTGAACCAAAAAGGGCATTTATATGACCCGACAATTTTTGTAGTTTTGTGTAAAACAGATGGCCCCAAATAGAGAGTTCTAAAACATGTGCGGTTCAAATCGATTTTGAACAATAATGTTTTATTTTACGTTGTCAATAAATGTTGGTAGTTATTAAAATTGTTATAAAATATACAGGGTGACGCACCTCATTCGCCTCGGTTGATTATACGAAAACGGAAAGATGTAGAAACAATTTTTTTATGGGTATATGTAGAGAGGCAATGTGCATAATTTAAAATTAGTTTGAAATGTACAGAGTGTGTCAAGACTAAGATCCATAACAAAGTTATATTTTTTCTTATGGAACACCCGGTATTTTATTTCATTTTTGGATTGTTGGACATAAAATAAGGCATTTATTATAAGGGTTTAATATATTTAAATGCTTTGGTTCTTGAGATATTTAAAGATATTTAAATATGCATGCTATAATAAAAATAGTTTGTCAACACCCTGTACATTACTTTTCAGAGTTAATACTTAAGCCGGAGTCTCATGCATCCGAAATCCGATGGTACGACATCCGAAATTTGAAGTTATCGTGTAAAATAAAAATAGCCTGTCACATACATCCGAAAGTTCGTTCCGAAATTTGACAGTTTTGACATTTAGACCTGTCATTCCTATGTATTATTATTATGTATTATTCCATGTATTATTGGAGAAATACTTATAAAAATAACTTCCCCGCCAATATCCGAAATTGCCCACTTCCCACTAAACTTGATTTTAAAAACCAATGTTTTCAAAAAAAGTGAGGTTAAAAAACACGATATCGTACAAAAGTTAAACGAAATTTAACTTTACTTACTTACTTACTTACGACGTTGGACGATTAGTTAAAAATATCGGATAAAAATTGGTGTCAAAATATTTCGACCAATAGAAGCACCGTCGGATCGTCGTGTCATCGGATTTCGGATGCATGAGACTCCGGCTTTATGCTTACTTTGAAGCCAGAGAAATAAACTTCTAACGACTAAAAGTCGAAGCAGATTTAAATGCCCTTTCAAACTATATTAAGGTTTCCTATACCTATCTGGCTCAGATTTTGAATAAAAAGCGATTTTTCAATAAAATGGCTATCAAGATGGCTGGTGTCGTCATGGCAATTTGCTAGTGACAGTTAGTAGCTATTTTCAAAATCGACATTAGTTTATGGACTTTATTTAAATTTATAACAGTTTATTTTTATTTAATTTACCTACAATAGTTTAATAAGTAAGTATTTATTATTTTACCAAAAAAAAATAAAGAAGTAGTTCTTTGATTTATATTACAATGATGCCAATTAAGGCAAATTCATTTTCTTCACTTCCAACGACAGGTTTTTGCCTAATAGGTTTTTCATATACCACACTATTTGCTCTGCAAAATAGGAAAATGAGTTTTTCAAAGGAAATGTCAAGAAAATTCCTATTTGGATATCTTTGTGCATAAACCCTTCAAGCCAACAAGCAATTGTCCTCACAAAATAAAATCACTAGGAACATATCCATTCCTTCCGCCAGTAGATACTACTTTATTTTTCTTGATAAAATAATAAATACTTACTTATTAACCTTATTGTAAGCACATTAAACAAATATAACCTGTTATAAATTTAAATAAAGTACATAAACTAATGTCAATTTTGAAAATAGCTACTAAGTGTCACTAGAAATTTGCCATGGCGACACCAGCCATCTTGATTACAATTTTATCGAAAAATCGCTTTTTATTCAAAATCTGAGCCAGATAGGTGTAGTAAACCCTAATATAGTTCGAAAGAGCATTTGAATCTGCCTTGATTTTTTTTTTGAAAAAATATAGGATGTTTCGTTTGAAATAACGAAGTTTTTATATAAAATAAATCCTTAAAATAGATCAGCATGTATAAATTTTAGGAAGCAATAACATTTTTCAGTAAAGTTTGTTTCTTTGGCTTGAAAGTCAGTAGTAGTAAAGTAAAGTCAACTATCAGTAGTAGAATAAATAATAAATAACATAAAATAAGCTCAGTAAAGACTGACAAATCCACGAAATCTCAAATCAAATTGAAATATGTCAAATGAATCGTCAAACAGAACTGTCAAGAAATTGTCAACCCTAGGGCCCTACCCAAGGACTGTATATATTCTAAAGGACTGTTCGATCGCGTCAAATCGCCGCTGTCGCATGTCGTAGTCGCCGTGAAATGTTACGTCACGCGCTGACCAGCGCTCCACAGTGCGGCGGATGGTTATTCTAGCGGGACAAAATCTCAAGAGCAATGTTTGGGACTTAAAATCTAAGAACGTAGCAAATGGTCTAATATATAGCAACTATATGGTTAAATTTATTTATTTATTAACAACTTAATTTATTAATAAATAAATACAAGATAATAAAACTATGATATTATTTGTACATGACACACAAAAACCGTATTGTAAACTATTGCCAAATACATAAAATTATGATATCAAAAAACTCTTTAGCAGTTTTTTTTAATTAATTTGTAATCTTGTGACACCCTCTATAATTTATTTTAAAAAAATATATTTTATTTTGAAAATAATAAATAAGATAGATATTTTAATTTTAATTTTAACACTCGGTAATTGTAAATTCATATATAGTAAGTATCTAAGACAATTTTTAAACTCAGTGCCTTTTGATGGAGTTGTTTTATTTTTATACTATCCGATTGAAATGAATCTTTTGGGCATTCACCTGTTAAGCTTGAACTCCCTGTGACTGTGACTACCTGTGTTGGTACCTATTGGTAACTCAAAAGATCTACATCATTCAATATATCGATATTTGAAAAAAAAAAGTGAAAGTTTGATATCTGTAGAACAAAGGCACGAAGGATTTTAACAAATAACATATGTATAGTAGAAAAGTACATACCTTTGGCAATCTTCAACATAATTTGGCTTTCTAATAAAATGTATAAGCACTTGTAAATATTTTGTTTTTGTATGATCTCTGCCTTGCTGAGCAGAAAACGACCAAATTTGGTTGATAAAAATGTATCGAAATACAAAGAATATTCATGCATTTTTGTATCAATTGGAATGTCTACTATTTATTCTTATCAGTACACATTTTTTGGCTTATTTCTAACCAAACGCTTATGTCCCGCTAAATTTATCTTTCAGCGCACTGTGCGCTCGTCCGTCAAATGCAAAAATAACTGTCACTGTCTAAAATCTTTAGCGCCAACTTCAACTCGGTCAGTAGATGACGTAAAAAAACTGACAGTGCAGGAAGATAGGAATCGAACTATCCTTATCTCTAAAAAAAAATCCTTAGGCCCTACCTCCGTCTACCATGTATGAATAATACACGGATAGTATTATACTCCTTCCTTAACCTGCTTATTCAAAGATTATACTACACAAGAATCAACAAGTTTTTTGTGAAGGTTCCATTACAGAAAAAATCTAGGAAAAACAGAAAACTAAAAAAAACAATTTTTTTAAATGCTACTGGATTTAGAATTTAATAATTAATAAATCATTTTAAAATAATAAACGTCTCAGGGCTTTTTGTGTGGACCTGGTGTCCAACAAAGAATGGACGCCGGCTGTATCTTAGAGACTACACATCGTTCAATAGTAGGATAAAAATGCTAATAAGTAAATCCAAGAGAAATCGTGGTGGCCAAGAGAAATCGCTGAAAATTATTTTCAAGTTCGCAAAATGTCCGCTAAAAAAATGCTATTTCTCTATTCAAGTACACAAAACATCCCCCTTTAGAACTTTTTCTTTAATGGTCATAAGCGGGAGTAAAAGACCAACCGCCCGAACAAACACTAGAGGCACCATCGGTCAACAAATGGTGTAAAAATTGTGAAAATTTAATCATCCAATTTTGACACAAGGGGTCGCGCTTAACTTTTTTAATTTTAATTTTAATTCAATATTCATTGTTTTCAAACTATATTATTAGATTTTGTTGTATTTTGTGAATGTATAAATGTTTTCTTAGTATAAAGTTGCATTATATTAATTTAAATTATATTATATACACATTTAAAATTCAAATATTATGACATAGGTCAGTTGCCGTCTAAAATGTCATCTTGATATCAAAAAGTTAGTTATTGTCAGAAATAGTTAAAATCATGTTAAAATATTAAAATTTACAAGTTATAATTAGGTATTTTATATTATTTCAAAAACAAAAACATAATGGTACCGCGTAATGTTGATATGCAAAGGTCCAAAACAAAAAGTGCCGTTATATTTTTCAGTTTTCGTTGTCAGCCGCGGAAGTTTCAGTTATTTTAGTGTTGTCGGATATTTTTATTTGTGAAATAGAAATATTGCGTTTGGATTGCAAAACTAAAAGTGGAAGTTTTATTGCAATGTAAGTAAGCGTTTGTCCATTTTATAATTTACTTTTTTCATACCTACGACAAATATACATATATTGAAATTTTATAATTTGTTTTATTAAAAAATGTTAGAAAACAAGCTTGTAATCCTGTAATTGACATAATTGTTATGTAATATATTCCTTTTAAATGTAATATATTACTACAATTAAAAAAATTTAAATTTAAAAGATATATTAAAAGTATATACAGGCATTAATTGAATTTTTAGTGTGCGAACAAACACGAGAGGCGCTTTATTATTTACTTTCATTTCTTAACATGACAGACGAAGTTCTAAAGGGGAATGTTTTGTGCTCAAGTACCTAATATTTCCACTTAAATCTCAAATAATGTGGTGAATATAAAATAGTTTAAAAATGCCTATACCTCTGGCAGATTCATCTCTCCAAAAAAGTTTTATGGGTATTTCGCCACTGTAATCTGGGGATAACAACGTCAACGGTTTTTGTAGACGTTATCTGTTTTAAAAAACTAAAGTGTTCTCGAATAGTTGAATTTAGATATTTTAAATAGTTTTTAGGGTTCTGTACCCAAAGGGTTAAAACGGGAACCCTATTACTAAGACTTCGCTGTCCGTCCGTCCGCCCGTCTGTCACGAAGGTCTATCTTATGAACCCTTATAGCTAGACAGTTGAAATTTTCACAGATAATGTATCTATGTTGCCGCTATAAGAACAAATACTAAAAACAGAATTAAATAAATGTTTATAAATAAAAAAGTACTGTCACTAAACATTATCTTTTAAGTAAGAATTTTACATAGAATCTTTCAAGTCCTCGGTGGCCGCGTGGTTAAAGCGTTAGGACTTTACACTGCTATGTTGGAGCGTTGGAACCGTAGTAAGGTAGGTTCGAATCCTAGTCATGGTGACTTTTTTTTAATCGTTTTTTTTTAATTTTTACATATTTTTACACATTTATTTTTACTTTTTACATATTTATTATTGATTAATACGATTTTTTTGTCCGGTAGGCAAATTTGTGTATTGGTAAACCACTGCTGACAATTAGTCTCCGTTGAATTAACGCCAGCAGTGTTTACAAAAAATAACTATTTTATTTTGTAGATTTTCTTACAGTGGCGATATACGCATAGGACTTTTTTGGAGATAAAAAAACTTTATAATTTAACCAATTATTATCCTAAGTTCGTTATAATCAATTTAAGTTAGCTTACCTTCCGACTGCTGAGTTTCTTTCTGATTAGTTTCATGTAACTGACACCATTTTGCACAAGCTTTTATTATCAAAGCGGCCGCAATAAGACATATTGCAGGCATGTACAATCCTAAAATTGCCAGTTAAAAAAATAAATAAATCTAAATATTTAAACTAGATAAATCACCAAGTTCAATAATTTTTTAAGAGTTTACCAGATATGTTTAAAAAATGCGTTAAATTAAGGCTTCTTTGTATTATGACAAATAAATAATTCCTAGTGGAAATTATATACAGGGTGGCGTAATGGCGGAGTAGATGTAGGTTAATTTAGACCATTTATTTTTTAATTTATATAATTTTACAGTGCCCCCAAAAAAAGTTAGTTGAATTTTTTGTAATGAAACATCCTATATATTAATCGATTTTCGGATTCTAGGAACAAAATAAAGGTGAGTTTTGTTAGAGAAGCATATTAGTAAAATGTAAGATTTTTGACATAATTAACATTTTCTAAAAAATTTTGAAATTTCAATAAAAGCTGCCTAAATTGCAATTTACCCGGTATAGCCTAATATGTAGTTAAAATAACCATTGTACATTAATCAAATTAAAACTTGACCCGAAAAGTTATACAGAGCGGGACAAAATTAATATTGAACATTGGTCACTTTTAAAAGCAAGTTACTTTTTTAAATTGAACACCCAGTATATTACTCCGATATTCAGTGAATAATTCATGTCCATTCAAAATATTATTAGGGTTGCCTACCTCTAGGACAAAGACTTTCCTAGATATTTTCATTTTTATGATGTCAGTGTAAGTAGATATTTATTATTTGATAAAATCTAGCTGGCTGTAATACGTCTGACGCTCCTTCATCATAGCTGTGAAGTATGACTTTTTTAGGGACACTCTATAGAACTCTATAATATATTCTTAAAAGATGCTTTAATTAACCTACATATGAACACAAAATTTCATTTGAATACAAATTGTTGTTCGCCTTGGAGACCCCGCATGGTATGAGTGGCGCCACCCTGTATACAGGGTGGTCCGAACGTATTCCGGAAACTTCGGCAGCATATTCTGCAGATAAAAATAAGTAAAAGAGTTCGTATAAATCTAAAAGTTTCGGAGATACAGGTTGTAGATGTTTCATTTTTATAACGTCAATATTTCAATGAAAATTTGACATCTAAATCAAATTTCTCATGTCAAAAAACTCTCATACGCTAATTTTCATCCAAATATTGACGTTGCTTCAGAAATTAGTTGAAAAAAATCGAACTAAAAATGAAACTTCACCTTGTATCTCCGAAACTAAGCATTTTAGGACATACATTTATACGAACTTAATTTTATCCGCAGAACATGCTGCCGAAGTTTCCAGAATACAGTTCGTATCGAACTTGGGGAAAAGATTTATCTGAACAGAAAAACGAAATAAATTGTACCTATAGAAATATATCTATCCGGCGACGGTAACAGATAAAAGAAGAAACTCTGATGAAATCTTTCCAGTAGATTATTCATGCTCCGAAATATCCCTTCAATTACTCTGCCGATAGTCAAGAATCCAACTCTAGCTCCATTTTTTGACTGTTCAAATCCTTCCAAGGTTAAGGCTTGTATGCCAAAACGTAAGAACAGGCCGTGGTTACCATTTGGAATCTGTTATATTAATGATTCAACAATTATACAGGGTGTTTCGAAAAACATGTGCCATCTATCGTGGGGAGATTCCTCACGTAAAAATAAGATTTATTTTTCATATCAACATAGGCCCGATTCTGTTTTGTTTCGTAGCTATAGGGTGTTCAAATCTAAATAATCTTTTGATTATAATTTTCTTCCAAGTACTTTTAGTGATTCAAATGAAATTTTGAGAGTGAAAGTTACTATAAGTGGTACATATTTTAATGCTAACAAAGTGTCGATAAATTCATCAGCGACGTGCATATGAGTTATCACTGCAATATATCTAAAAAAAAAACGTGCGCCACTGACTTATTTTCTTTCAATATCAAAATTGTGTAGGCTGTTTAATGCCAATTAAAAATTATTTCTAGGTATTTTGTCGAATTCGGCCCCCTTGATGAGATAAACGCAACTTTATTAATCACAATTAATATAATTAAAATAAAAATAAATGGGAGGGGGGAGTGGGTTAAAATTTAAAAAAATCGTAACTGCAAAATTACAGTAGCTAGCGAAACGCGGTTTTCAATTTAAGATTAGGAATAATATTTGCAACAAAATTTGTAATAACATCAAAATCAGTCAAAGTCGCAGTTTTTGAGATAAAAAAAATTGGAAAAATTCCTTTACTTTGAAACTAAAAAAACTGCCTAACTTTTTATTAACATATTTTAGTATGGGCGACTATACGTGCCTCCCGGCGCCATTTTTTTTTAAGTTACTATTAGACTTGGATCAAGGCAAATTAATAAAATTGCGTTTATCTCATAAAGGAGGCCGAAATCGACAAACTTTTAATTGGCATTAAACGGATATCAAGATACAACTTTTAACTGGCATTAAACGGCCTACACAATGTTGCTATCAAAAGAAAAAAGTCAGTGGCGTACGTGTTTTTTTTTTTCGAAAAATATTCCAGTGATAACCCATATGCACGTCCCTGGTGAATATGTCGACACTTTTTTAACACTTCATTTATAACCTCAAAATTTCATTGGAAACGCTAAAAAAGTACTTGCACGAATTATTATAATAAATCGAAAAAATATTAAAACTTTAACACCCTGTAGCTAGGAAACAAAGCAGAATCGGACCTACGTTGATATGAAAAATAAATCTTATTTTTACGTGGAGAATCTTTCCACGAGAGATGGCACATGTTTTTTGAAACACCCTGTAGATAAAATGTAAAACAGAATAAACTGATTAAAAATATAAAGAAGATAAAAAAAAATATTTTATCTATGAAATGTAAAAAAGTCGGTCTTTTTGAAAATATAATTCAAGATATGTAGATACAAGGTAATTCAAATTGAACCCCCATCAATAGGATCTCGAAAAATATACAGGGTTCGGCAAAAGTGAGTCGGGCATCTGTAGGTACTAGAATAAAAAATTTAGGATTTTTTTTTAAGTGCGAACCTAAAGTATTTATTAGAATGTATTTCAGAAAAATATTTTAACTTCTACAGGATGGCTCAAAAACGTGTGAGCGGATCCAGATGATTTTTTTTAACTGGAACCCCCTGTATATTATTGCATTTTTTGGCTTCCTTTCAGATCACTTTATATAATCCTAAGATATGAGTAAATATATTTTGATAGTTTCAGAGATATTGATAAATAAATAAAACATATATATAATTTCCAGCCTTTAATAAAAAATTATTAAAAATACAAGAACTGTCTTGAAATCAAAACAATATTAGGGGTTTACTTTAGATGGTCTGTACTTACTTTGCTGTAAATATCGTAATCTTAAATCATACAGGATGTTTTTTTTAAGAGAGGCTGAAAAATATATTTTTGTTTACTTATTTATTAATATTTCTGAAACTATCGAAATATATTTACTCATATCTTAGGAGATATCTGGAATGAAGCCAAAAATGCAATAATATACAGGGTGTTCTAGTAAAAAAAATCATCCTGATAAACTAACACTTTTTTGAGCCACCCTGTAAAAGTTAAGATACTTTCCTGAAATACGTCCTAGTACACGCTTTAGGTTTGAACTTAAAAAAACATGTTTTAAATTCTAGCAGCTACAGATGCCCGACGCACTATTGCCGGACCCTGTATAAAGATACTTACCCCAGTCGACTGAGTGCTAATCATTGACAGCATATTCTTAAAATAATATTTCCACTCTTTGTACATATTACGAATGTACTTTATCCCCTTCCCTTTAAAAGTATAATAAACACCCTCTTTGGCACATATTTTACTGGCTAAATTGACTAGGTCCAAGTTAGGCAACTGACCATTCAGACTTTCGATTTTAATGTCAATATTTCCTACAACAGCCAATTAAAATATTGTTGTAATATATTTAGGTACCGTAATAATTTCATACCAATTTTGGTACTATGTAGTTCCAAATTTATGGCGGCTTGAATAGCACCAGCCCGGCCTTTTAAATCGCCATGTATTAAAGTTCCTTCGTTGCCACAAGTTACCCCATAGTAAGCCTCTAACCAGGCTTGTACACCCAACTGTTCATGATCAGTAACAAGAAATATTATGTCTTTGGCCCAATACTTCCCTCCTAGAGTCAAAATAAGAAATTTTATGACAATATAATATAATACGTTAAAAACGATAAAAAACAATGGGTCTTTAAGTTAATTATACAGGGTGGTCCGAACTGTTTTCCGAAAACTTCGGCAGCATTTCCTGCAGATAAAAATAAGTTAAAAAGATACAGGGTATAGAAGTTTCATTTTTATTTCGATTTTCTCCAAATAATTTCTGAAGTAACGTCAATATTTGAATAAAAATTGGTGTCTGGACAGTTTTTTGACACGAGAAAGTTGATTTTGATGCCAATATGACTCCTACTTGTAGAGGGCGCCACCTAGATATTTTTTAACTGGTTTGAACATTAATAACTTTACGTCCGTACCTGTATAAAACTACTGAGTAAAAATATACATTTACGACATTTTGTAACGGAGAAAATATTGCAAAAACCTGCATTGGCTTAGGCTAGGTGAGCTTGCGTTAGGCCTGTCGTTTAACGCGCGATAGCTTCCAATCGAGAGATCTAACAGCATATACCGAGGGGTGTCTCACTCGGGTAAAAAATGTACAGGTACTGCCAAAATATCCTTCCACTGCTAAGCGACTGCCAATGACTATGAAGAAGACTGCCTATGACTGCCATGTAATTATTATAGGCGACTGCCATAAGACTGCCAATGACTGCCAGCGACTGCCAAGAAAATGTACATGTAATTCCAACAGTGAGACACCCCTCGGCATATACATTTACGACATTTTTTACATATAAAAGGTTTCTTCGTAAAAATCGCTAGGAGTAATGGTTTTCAAGATATTTTGAATAGAAATGATCAATACCTGTCATCATTGACATAAATTAAACATGTTGACTAAATAGTTACTAGACTGAAATCATCAGTTTGAAATGTTTTTGTGCCAAAAGTTCAACAGAAACTGTTTTATCATAATTTTTTCTTTGAACCTGTATAAAACTACTGAGTAAAAAAACATACATGTACGACGTTTTTTACGTAAAAAAGGTCTCTTGATAAACATCGCTACGAGTAATGGTTCTCGAAATATTTGGAATCGAAATTATCAATACCTGTCATCATTGACATAAATTAAACATGTTAACTAAATAATTTTTTGTGCCAAAAGTTCAACTGTTTTATCGTCATTTTTTCGAAGAAAAATTTATGATTAATTTAAAAAAATAAAAAGTTTGGTTTGACAGTGTCCTGTTAAAAACCCCGTGACAATCCGAAGATTGTTCTTACTCAGACCCAGGAAGATCTGTGATTTTTCTTGATCATAAGCCCTCAGAAACTTCTTCGAGTGTCTTAGACCATTGCAAGATTTCCATTCCAGGTTGCGGATGGAATCTTCCAAGTTCTTGAGTTCCGCCTTGAGTTGGTTACCACTTGGAAAGCAGAACGGTTCTGGTCCAGTTAGTGGAGTGTTCGCTCCTTTCCTAGCTAGATTATTTGCTTTTTTATTGCCTTCTATCCCTTGGTGAGCAGGCACCCAGTGTAGGAGGACTTTGTTTTCTTTGGCTAATTTATTCAGCTTCTCTATGCATTCTTTGACCAATTTCGAATTGATTGATACTGAGTTGATCGCCTTTAATGCTGCTTGACTATCAGATAAGATGGCTATTTCTTGTTTCCGATAGTTCCTATCTAAGATAAGTTGTACGCATCTCTCGATAGCGTAGATTTCTGCCTGTAGGATACTAGGGTAAGTGCCCATTGGTTCGGAGTAATTAGCTCTCGGCCCAAACACTCCAATCCCTGTTCCCGTATTGGTTTTGGAAGCATCAGTATACCAAGTTATGGTATGGTCTTTTAAATGCTGAGCAAGCGTTTCGCTCTTCCAATCCTTCTTATTGCTCAATACTACATTGACATGTTTGTCAAAGTTGTACGTTCTTGGCATATCGTCCACTGGGTGTTGCAGGAGTGGTATTTCCTTTTTGAGGGTGTTCCAAGCCCCTGATCTGACAATTCTCCCAGTACTAATTCCGTTAGTGACCATTCTAATCATTGTCGCATTGGCACATCTACCAATGACAATGTGCAGTGGTGTTAGATCTAGAATGACCTCCATTGCTGCTGTTGGACAGGTTCTCATGGCTCCTGAAGCGTGAATTAACCCACTATTAATCCATTTTTTTCTCGTTTATTATTATATTACTGTTTTCTTAAGGATAATTGTATTTTTCCAAGAAAGTACATTTAATTTTGAACCGTATCAGTGCCATTTTATAGTTAATAAATTCTATAATACTATGGAAATTCGTGTTCTTTATTGTTTTAACATAACCTCATATTACTTATCCCTATATGTATTCTTTTATGTAATTATACGTATAGTAAACGCGTATATACTTACTCAGAAAGACACAAATATCCTTTGAACAGAGTAATATAATAAAAAATTAAGAAAAATTAGATTATCCCATTATATTCTTGCTTTCTTTGAATTTTGCGACACTGACCTTCCACTACATGACGTCACACTAATGGAGCGTATTAAAACAGTTCAAAATCAGCGTCCTCTATCAGATATTTAAATAGTCAACATTTGACCTACATTTAAACAGATCAGCTGATTGAATTTTTAGGTTATCAAATTTGTTTGAGATTTTACTCAAAACAGTAATTCTCTGACAAAACTAAAAAAATGGGCAAATGTAAGGTAAACCTGTAAAAATACTTTTATTATTCAAATAGAAATATCAATGATCTTGCGATATTGGACTTCCTCGCACTAATGGGCACCCCTGTATATTTTAAGAGATATGAGACTATTAATGAGATCATGCACATTATTTTTTTTACTGATTAGTTAAATTCCTGTACACTTAAAAAAAATTGAATATATTCGTTATGATTGTCTGCATAGTTAACAAAATAGTTTGGAGTAAAAATCTCAAATTAAAACCTAATATGGAGCATTTTTTGAACACTGGGCCACCCTGTATAAAATATTTCTTCAATGTGGAAAATTAGGTTAATTCCTTTTTGTCTATTTACTCTGTACTGAGTGTTTTTTAAATACATTTTTATATTATTTCTGTAATTTAATAAACAAATAAATGAAAAATACCTATTACAGTCTCTGTTAACTACTGCAATATAATGTATGTTTAAATTATATTATCACTTTTTAATAACAAAATCATACTACTTAGCAAAATGCAACTAGAAACATACATAAATAGTATGGTTTACACCATTTTTGTTTAAGACTTTTTTATTTACTTAATGGCATTCTTACTTACTAACTGCAAATTTGGCAAAAGCTAAGGCTATAGCAATAGATGGTAGAGTTGGTGGATATATACTGGATGGTGGTCTATAAGGTACACTTAAAACCAATGCTTCAGTACTCGAAGCTCTTGGGGCTCTCAATATACCATAAACATTTTTTCCTACGTATTTCTGCAACAAGATTGTTAAATTTTTCTTTGGGAGTGTTTATGCAAAATAAAACATATTTGGTTTCAAGCGATGAACTATATTATAATATATATTTATGGCTTTTCCTCTGACATCTTCAAAAGTATCACAACATAATAATTTTTAATTATTATGTTGTGATACTAATTATTAAATGTGTGTAATTGTGATACTAATATTAAAATAATCGTTATTTATAATAATAAATTTATTTCCTAAAGTCATGACTGATGAACAAGTCAAAATAAAAACAAAAAAAATTTGATACAAGATATGCCAGTTTGGACTTACCTCTTTTGGGTTCAGAGGAGACTTTAAAGTAAAATTATGCGTATAAGCATCTAAACCAATTTGAGAAAACTTTGCCAAGAGCCACGGATAAGGAATGGAATTATCATACTTGTCTGTTTCATCGACTAACTCTTCGTAATATCTCATAGCTGCTTTGTCTTCTTGGAACATGGATTTAACTAAGCCGGGGAGTAAGGCATTTTCAGAGAAATACGTGTTAGCATTAAGGGAAGGCGAAGCTAATGCACAAAACCAAAAAATTCCTCCCACATACAAAAGGACACAGAACTTCTTATAAAATCTGATCAGTAGTTTTGTTAGTTTGCCCTGTCCACTACGGGGGTCTGTTAGAAGACCCATTTTAGGTACAATTTAATTCACAAAATTCATAAAAACATTATTATTTCACTGAATTTTACGTTAATATCTCTAACAATCCCGATAACAATCACTAATAAAAACAAAACTCTAGAGAGGTTAGGTTGGTTAGGTCTCATTCTGACAGCTCTCTTCTTTTAAAAATATTGACCTTGGCACAAATATATATGATTCTCATCATAGAAATGATAATCGATGACATTTCCCATATAATTTTACAAAAACACAGCGATCTTCGGTACCCGATCTTCATTTCATAGCCATCGCTGACGCAATTAATATCGATGTTTTCAAAGCATTAATTTTGAACATCCCTAGTTTGTACCATAGATGAAAATTTTCATCCACAAAAGGGACATAAGTGACAGATGACACTGATGACAGCCAGATGACGAAGTTTGGAGGTTTAAAGATGGAGGTGTGATATTAAAAAAGATATGTTTGTGTTAAAGAGCAGAATATTCCAACATAACGAAGTATTATTGATAAGTGTAGTGGAAAAATATATATTTAAAAATCAAATATTGTATCGTAACACTGCCCAAACGTATCGAAGCTACGCAACTTGATAACGTGCCCTTCAAATCTGTTAGTTCCTGCTTGTTATACGTTTCTTCATTTTTTTTACCCTTGTTCAACAAATACCAAGGATTTTTCTACATATGAATACACAATTTGGGCCTAACAGCATAAACTAAATCTTGTTGTAAGTATTTTATCAACTTATAATATTTAATTTTAAGGCTTTGTTTTAATTCAACCTGTTCCTTTTACTTTAAAGTGTTTTGTGACCTAAATGTCAATAATTGTTTAAAATTTTAAAGATTGCAGTAGACATGGTTCTAAATAATAAATGCCTTATTCACTTTTCAAAGGAATTTAGGTTCATTGAAGAAAATGAGTTGACTTCTCTGCCATTCATGAATCTAAATGCTAACCACTTTCATTTTTCATAACTTCAAGCACATTTACTACATGTCATAATTCTTGTTAAAATGTTTGAATTATTTTTTTCCAAGATCACTTCTAATAAAAAATGTGTGACATATTTCTAAAGAATAAACTGCTTAATTTGTGAAAAATTGGCATGCAGTCAATATTTATATTAAGTTTAGATTACAGCTGTCAAATATTATATTGCATTAAAGTTAGATATAAACAAAGTTTACATTCGATATTGGATATTTGCTGTGCATAGGTAAATAATTTTTGTCACCTGATCTATATCAACACAAAGGACATTTTGTATTCTCTATTTCTTGATAAGCAGAAAAAATATCTACAATCTTACATTGATTTAAAATAATCTTAAAGTAGCAAGACATCTATCACTGTCAAACTTTTCTCATTGAGCACACCAATAACTAAAGAATACAAGGACCAATAACACCCAACACCAAATTTTTACCTTGCTTCTTGCCTCCAAACAGTGCCGTGCCATATATTTTTCTTAACTTAGCTGCTCGAAGATAAAAATATTGATAAAAATGATAACAAAAGGTATAAAACTAGTATCGATGTACAGGGTGGCGGGTCTTGTGCAGAACAGGTCCCCACGAAATCGTGGTTTTTTTAATTTTTAATGTGGATCCCATAGTTAATGGAATGGTTTAAAAGAAAAAAATTGTTGGATGAACCGCTTTTTCTACGAAAAAAAATAATTGAAAATTCCAAATTTTCACTACATTTCAATGCGAAAACTCCCTATTATAACCTTCATAAAGACAGTAAAATACAAGGTTATGCACAGTGTTGCCATACTCACCCTGTGTAAAATCGACGAAAACGTTCTACTTTATATTCGTTTTTTTTACATTTAGTACGCACTTTAAGAACACGAAAAATTAAAAATATAATAAACGAGGCAAAACAAAAACACTATAAAAATAAATTGACAATAAAATCATTACACAGTATTTAGCACAATTGTTTAAAAATATATTTTTCCCGGATTTGTTCAGTAAGATTCCGAAATGGATGTGATCTGCGTACTTCCAAACACTCCCCACCAACCTAACCTAACCAATGCATTAACACCCCCAAATAACCAGGCTAACCAATGCATTAACACCCTCCAAATAACCAGACTAACCAATGCATTACCACCCTCCAAATAACCAGAATATCTAACCTAACCTAACCAATGCATTAACACCCCCAAATAACCAGGCTAACCAATGCATTAACACCCTCCAAATAACCAGCCTATCTAACCTAACCTAACCAATGCATTAACACCCCCAAATAACCAGGCTAACCAATGCATTAACACCCTCCAAATAACCATGCTAACCAATGCATTACCACCCTCCAAATAACCAGGCTAACCAATGCATTAACACCCCCAAATAACCAGGCTAACCAATGCATTAACACCCTCCAAATAACCAGGCTAACCAATGCATTACCACCCTCCAAATAACCAGGCTAACCATTGCATTAACACCCTCCAAATAACCAGGCTAACCAATGCATTACCACCTTCCAAATAACCAGGCTAACCTAATTGAGCCTAATGACAAAACTTCATTGATTACGCGTCGAAAAACAGTATATATTAAAAAAACTTATATTTTCGTAGAACCTGAAAAATCCGCAAATTTTATTTCAGAAATTGCTTTAAAATAATCCACACTAACGAATAAGCTACTAGACAGTTCAATTTTTGTTGCACTAAAGTGATAACTTACCGTTTTAAGTCCCTCCACAACAACTTTATTTCAGAAGAAAATCATATAAAGTAATTTTATTGACAACGTCGCAAATTCTATGCGAAGGCCATAGATGACATACCGATGATCGATTAACTGTCAATCGAAAAAAGTCATAAAATTGCTAGCTTGAGCTGATGTAAATAAATATATTTTCTTAATTTTATGCTTACAAAGAAGATTCGTTACATTTTTGTGCTTAAATTAGATCATTCCACGTCTATATAAGGTAATAAAGTACTAATATGTGATGTTTTTACTGAATCCGTGTAGAAAATTTAACATATTTACTGTCCGTCGCCTGTACCTAAAATACGTTTTTTTGCCGCTTTTTAAAGATAAAACACATTCATCCAACAATTTTTATGCTTAAAAATATTCAGTTTAAGATAATCTTGCAAAAAAATCCCAAAAAAGTGTTAAATGCGTGGGGACCTATTGTGCACCAGAGCCCAGGGTGGCGCCTCTCATACGCTGCGGAAGCTCCAAGGAGAACAGTAGTTTTATATCGAAATTTAATTTTGGCAGCATATGTAAGTTAACTGAAAGCATTTTATATAAATATATGGAATTATTCAGGGTGTCCCCAAAAAAAGTTACACATCAAAGTTGTGTTTTTTCTAATGGAACACTCTATATATTAATTGATTTTCGGATTCTAGGAAAGAAATAAAGGTAAGTTTTATTAAAAAGCATATACCTTTTAACATATTTCACATTTTGTGAAAATAAAGGGTAAATTTTAAATTTCGTTAACAGCTAACTAAATTTTAGTTAACCATTGTATGTTAAACCAAATTGAAATTTGACCCGAAAAGTTATACAGTGTGAGACAAAATTAATATGGAACATTAGTCACTTTTAAAAGCAAGTTACTTCTTTATTTTAAATGGAACACCCTGTATATTTTTTCGGTGTTCAATGAGGAATTTATATATCTTCAAAATATTATTACGGTCGCCTACCCCTTATTCAAAATTTATAATGATATGATGGAGTTATTTCAAATAATGAGTTTAAGAATTAAAGTTAATATATTTATATACAGTTTGCTAAAAAAATCATGTAAATAGGACTAAAATACAAAAATAAAACACTTTAAATTTGACGAAATTTTTTTTTTGCATCTGAGTGTACATAAATAACTAATTTTTTATATATGGGCATGTAGAAAATGTAGACAATTAGTTGGTTTAGAAAATTAATATTTTACGTGTTAAAAATATGGTAGAATATGTAAAATTTTCTACCTACCCAACCCTGGCTAAGTATATGTCTCAAACGTTCAAAAATTCATAGGCAGTGAATTTATACTAAATTTAATTAAAGAGGACTCCTTTAACGTTAATATTATACTTATTACTCTTTGTTCCAGATCATGTTGGCCCTATTGGTATCGCCATGGGAACACCAGGCGATAAAAGAACTCTGGAAAAGATAGTCGGAACCGAGCACAACCTAGAACCGGAAACAGACACAGTACCATCTACCGAACAACCTTCGACATCCGCCACATTCGAACCTTCCGAAATGGGTGTCCTAAGTCGCTTGCCGGACTTCCACCTTCTAACGGGTCCAGCCGAACCGGTACCACACCTCAGTAACAAGCCGGAAAGTTTCCAGCAGACTTTAGAACAAGCTTCCATCGAAGACTACTTCACCCAAACCAAGTACTACACGGGTACGAGCGAGAGTTTCGCGACGCTGTACCCTGTCGCACCACCAACTACATTCCAGGCATTAGATCAACCCGGCCCCTCAGGTGTGCAAACTGTCAAAGACCGCACCGGTTCGGAAAGAGCAAAAAAGAAAAAGCAGGAGCGCGCTGGGCATAAAAGGAACCATCCTTGCCCAATCTGTCACAAGAGCTTTGCGACGGGTGAAAATTTCGACAAGCACTACCAAACTCACACGACATCGCACTCAACGCCTCAATTCAAATGTGAACTATGCAAGAAATCGTTCAGTTCGAAGTTTAAGCTCGTCCGGCACGCTTTGATCCATTCCGATAAGAAACCTTTTAGTTGTACTGTATGTGACAGGACGTTTCACAGGAAAGATCACTTGAAGAACCACATCAAAGTTCACAGTCCGACGAAGAAGCTGTACGAGTGCAACAAACCTGACTGCAACAAACAGTACACCTCCATGCTCAGTTACAAGAAGCATTTGGCGGTTCACGCGGCGGACGAAGGCAACCTCACCTGTCAAATATGTTACGCAAACTTCGAGAACAAAGATGGCATTTTGTATCACTTGAAAATACACGCCGGGAGTCGGACGATTAAGAACCCCAACGAAAAAAAGTACCTGTGTGATTACTGCGAACGAAGGTTCTTCACGAAGAAGGACGTGAGGAGACATCTGGTGGTCCATACGGGAATGCGGGATTTTCTTTGTCAGTTCTGTCCACAGAGGTTCGGCAGGAAAGATCACTTAGTTAGGCACATCAAAAAGTCACATCACCGGCAATACTCCGAGGAAGCTTTAACGCAAATCAAACTTGAAGTATCGAAACCGGAAACTATAACCACAGACGTTCCGCAGGATATCCCGATAAGCGAAACAGTCTACTCCGAAGCCTCGTTTTCTTCACTGCAAGATATGCCTAGCACTAGCGGAGGTTGGGTCAAACCTTCGGAGGTTAAATTGGAACAAGTTGAAGGTTCGATATTAGGCTCGGGCGTTTCGTTTAAAGAGGAAGACCTGGGACTGGAAGGCGTCAAAACGATATTTGAAGAGGAAAGTTTGAGGCCTCTAAACGAGGATGAGTTATTTCTTTCGTCCCAGTCTACGCCCAGCGAACTGAAACAGTTTTGCACGGATATGCTGAAGCAGATCGGAGACGAACCGCCTTCAAGTAGTTCGCAGGTTCTTTTGGAACCGTCTGAACCGGAACCAGGGGAATCCCACGAGGCTATTATAGTTCCAGAGGAAGAAATTTTGGATCCCGAGATGTTTAGTATTTTGGAGCAGGCTGACGATAACAAGTTACCGTTGCCGGGGTTCAGTCAAACGTTTCAACCTCCACCGCCACCTTAGTAGTTTGCTGACTTGGATTTTTCTGTATTACACACCGAAATACAAGTCTAAAAAAGGAGAGGATATGAAAAAGTAAGTGGTTCTAGTCTGTTGAAAACCGAGAGTCGGTAACAATAAATTCAGGCTTTTGATTGGATTTGTAATAAATATACAAATCATTAAACTATAGTAACAAATTGCGGTAAGCTTAGACTCTTTAACAGGTATATTTTAAATAAAAATGTGTTCCAGCACAGTTAAAATTAGAGATGGATTTTTTCCGATATATCGATAAGTATCAATAGTTCTCGATATATCGATAATTATCGGCATACATATCAATAAGTAAAATATGTCGATAGGTGAATGGCGGTACTTATCGATAGGTAAAAGCCATTATCGCCCATCCCTAGTTAAAATACAGGGGGTTCGAACTGTATTCCGAAAACTTTGGCAGCATATTCTGCAGATAAAAATAAGTAAAAAAGTTCGTATAAATTTGTGTCCTAAAATGCTTAGTTTCGGAAATACAGGGTGTAGAAGTTTCATTTTTATTTCGATTTGTTTCAAATAATTTCTGAACTAACGTCAATATTTGGATAAAAATTGGTGCCTGGGAGTTTTTTGACATGAGAAATTTGATTTTGATGTCAATATGACTCCTACTTGTAGAGGGCGCCACCTATATATTTTTAACTGGTTTGAAGAGTAATAAATTTTCGTCCGAACCTGTATAAAACTACTGAGTAAAAAAACATACATGTACGACGTTTTTTACGTAAAAAAGGTCTCTTGATAAACATCGTTACGAGTAATGGTTCTCGAAATATTTGGAATCGAAATTATCAATACCTGTCATCATTGACATAAATTAAACATGTTGACTAAATAATTTTTTGTGCCAAAAGTTCAACTGTTTTATCGTCATTTTTTCGAAGAAAAATTTATGATTAATTTAAAAAAATAAAAAGTTCTCAAATTTATCATTTCAGTCAAATGACTATCTACACAACATGTTTATTTTTTTTCAATAATGACACGTATTGACTATTTCCATTCTAAATATCTTGAGAACGGTTGCTCGTATCGATTTTTACCAAGATTTTACGTAAAAAATCATGAAAATGTATATTTTTTTACTCAGTAGTTTTATACAGGTACGGAAGAAAAGTTATTACTTTTCAAAACAGTTGAAACCCATGTAGGTGGCACTCCCCTACAAATAGGATATTGACATCAAAATCAAATTTCTCATGTTAAAAACTCCCAGACATCAATTTTCGTCCAAATATTGACGTTACTTCAGAAATTATTTGGAAAAAATCGAAATAAAAATGAAACTTCTACACCCTGTATCTCCGAAACTAAGCCCACTTTAGGACATACATTTATACGAACTTTTTCATTTATTTTTATCTGCAGAATATGCTGCCGAACTTCCCGAAATACAGTTCGGACCACCCTGTTTACCGATATAATTGAAAATTTGTTACTGACATAAAATCTAATAATCTTTTGTTGTGTAACTAATCATTTTTGTCACTTACTGACTCTCGGTTCCGAATACACTTTAGTTAGAGAAATTATCATGGCGTTTCTAATAAAATTTATCTATAAAGATTGATTCTTTATATGATTATACTCTGAAATTTGGAGTAAATGAAAAAAAGGGGAATATTGCAATATATTTTATGAAATCCTGTTATAAAAAGAAACTGGATGAAAAACTAATGTCAGCACAAAAAATTGTGAATTTATGCAGAGGAAATATGTATAAAAATGAAGTAACACCTAGGTTTTAAAAAAGTATATACAGGGTGTTATTAAATAAAATACTTGTTCGTTAAATAATTTAGGATACCTAGAGTATGAAATGTATTTTGGGAAATGGTGCTATAAATTAAACTATGAGACAGTGTGTTACAATCACTGGTTAAGATTCTTGGCAAAATATAATATATAAAGAATCTTATATTATGTATCCTTATTTTAAGAGAATAAATTAATTTTGACAAAAAAAACAAGAAAAAATAATTTATAAGTATAAAAATTAAAGTAAAAAAAAATAACAATGAAGTAAAGCAATATATTCTTGTTAATTTTAAATTATTAAAATTATTGTTATGTCTTAATTGTAATGACACTTTATAATATTTTGTCTGTATAAGTTCACTGAGATGTATTGAAACTGGAGATACGGAGTATGTGTCGTTCCGTCGCAAAGTTGTCTATAGTAAATATAATATTTTATTTAACTACTTAACTGCGTTTTGGAAGTAGGAGTGCAGGCTCACGTCAACTTTCAGAGGCTTATAAAGGTTATGTCACTAACCTTACCGGTCTTCTGTTTATTATTTTTTTGTTCGCCGTTTTTCTGTTAATTTTTTTTCTGTTCGCAGTTTTGGTTTAATCATATTTGCAACAGAGGTGTTTTAATAAAAATAAAGGTGTTTCAAAGAACACGAGGGCCGATTCTGCTTTGTTTCGTAGCTACAGGAGGTTAGTCTTCATTTTTTTTCGATTTATTATAAATTTTTTTCGGGTGCTTTTAGTGATACGAATGAATTTTTCAGGATAAAAGTTATTATAAGTGCTACATATGTTAATGCTAAAAAAGTGTCGACAGATTTACCAGTGACGTGCATATGGGTTATCACTGAAAATCCATATATCTACAAGTCATCGTAAAATGAACCAAAGAACTACTTTTTCGGTTTTATTGATAGAATAATACTTAAATACATATTTAATAAATATTATTTATTAAACTATTGTAGGTAAATTAATTAAAAGTAAACTGTCTTGGTTGCCATTTTATTGAAAAATTGCTCTTTTTTAAAATCTGAGCTAGATAGGTATAGGACACCCTAATATAGTTTGAAAGAGAATAGAAACAAAAAAATACAGGGTGCTGTATTTGAAATAACGAAGTTTTGTATGTAAAATAAATTCTTAAAATAGATCAGCAATTTTTGGTACCCCTGTATAAATTTAAGGAAGCAATAACATTTTTCTGTAAAGTTTATTTGTCTACCTTTAAACTCAGCATAAAAATTAATTCTGAAAAGTAATGTACAGGGTGTTAATCATCTGTTCTATTGTAGCATGCAAATTTAAAAATCTTTAACAATCTCAAAAACCAAAGATTTTAAACATATTTAACCCTTATAATAAATGCCTTTTTTGGACCCAAGAATCCAAAAATGAAATAAAATACTTGGTGTTCCATAAGAAAAAATATAACTGGTATGGATCTTAGTTCTGAAACACCCTGTATATTTCAAAATAATTTTCAATTGTGCACATTGCCTCCCTAGATATACCCATAAAATATTTTGTTTCTACATCTTTCCGTTTTCGTATAATCAACCGAGGCGAATGAGGTGCGCCATTCTGTACAATTTTTCAGTGGAATTTTCAGTGGAAGAAGAATAATCAGTGGCGTACATGTTTTTTTTTTTAGAAAAATATTCCAGTGATAAACCATAATATGCACGTCCCTGGTGAATCTCGATACTTTTTTAGCATTAAAATACTTATAGTTACTTTTACCCTCAGAATTTTATTCGAATCACTAAAAGCATTTGGAAGAAATTTATAATAAGTTGAAAAAAATGAAGAATTTAATCCATTGTAAATACGAAACTAAGCAGAATCAGACCTATGTTGATATAAAAAATAAATCTTATTTTTACGTGAGAAATCCCCTCACGAGAGATGGCACATGTTTTTTGAAACACCCTGTATAATTAAAATAGAAAGTTTATGCAAGCGTGTATAATAATAATAACAAAACAAGGAGTATATAAATTATTTTATCATATATCTTTTCTCGATAGTTTGTGTTTTTGTTTAATCTCAAGAGCTTAATTTTGATTGGAGACGTAATAAAATTATTTTTAGATTCCTTGTTTCGTTAACATATTTCACAGGGTGTTTCAAACTTCACCAAAATATCAACATTATGATTTTCTTTGTATAATTGGTGGAAACCGATGGGAGGTTTCATTTTTAATTTCGAAAGAGATACCAAAAAGTCAAATAATTCAGCTACAAATTGCTTAAAAGATCACCAAAATCGGTCCACCAGAACAAAATACAGGGTGTCCCAGAAATAAGTGCAAGTATTTTAACTGGTAGTATAGTTCAACCCCAGAAACACGCCTATGAGGTTTTTTTCACGAAAAAAAAATTTAAAATTCGAAATTTTGTGGAATTTGTTTTACTTTTTAGTTAAAAAACATAATTTCTTGATAATATGGCAACATAGGTATTAGATTAAATTTACAAGAAAGAAAATCCAGAAAAGATCCGGTGGTTCTCAAAATTTTAACAAAAAATCATTTTTTAGGAAATTTTCAAAGTAAAATAACGTTATTTTGGACTTATTTGAAAAACGGTAAAGAGAAAATATGTTTCTTTTATCGAGATCTACCACCTCTTAAAATACTTGCACTTATTTCTGGGACACTGTATATTAAACTTTAAAATAGTTTAATATATTAATGTCAGCGACTGTAGCTGCATAAACCTGCTTAATAAATTTCAAAATTACATTAGAAAAAACGATTTATAATTAATGATCTGAATTTTATATGCGAACGCATTCATTAAATTTTCGTTTTGTTTGTGTTTAATTTATTGTTGTAATTATTGCATTAATAAAAGTGTTATTATTTTCTAATATAAACTGAAAGACGTTTATTCTAAAAATTAAGTAAACTATTTGTTACCGTTTTACTAATTTCAGCAATTTGCTAAAAAGTAATATAACGTCGAAATTTTACAGGCTGCTTGATTTATAGCCACTCAGGGGAGCGAAATACCGATAAATTTAGTAGATACAAATTCCAGGTATTCTACAGATATATTTTTCAGAAATTATATCGGGTTCTCTAAGGGTCTTTTGAAAAATTATCAATCAAATATACAATTAGAAGCATATCACTAGTGATGGGAAAAACCGATTAATTTCAATAATCGAGTACTCGAGTCTCAAGCGATTGCAATAACCGAGCGATTGCTCGAGCGAAATATCGCTCATATTTAAAAATACGGGTTTTCGCCCGTCGCTTGTTGTAAGTACTCCTTAACGCCAAGCGCCAAGCAGTAAGTTGCGTGCGCAGGGCACATATTCTTTCGGTGATGAATGGCAAGTAGCAAGCGTCGAGCGATTCGTTTGATCGCTTGAATTAGTTTATTTCAAAGTATTGTCGATGTAGGTCGTAAAATTTTGTCCCTCAGATACGCAACGGATAAATATATATGTAATGTATGTAGAAAATTCGCTCTGCTTTTTATCGAGTATGTCACATTGAAATCGGATTTCAATTTATTTCATTCTAGGATCGCTTGCGTTTGTCGCTCGTAACTCGTCACGTCCATCGCTCATTCATAATCGAGCGATGTCGGTTATTTCAATAATCGAGTACTCGAGCGAATTTTCGCTCGAGTTATCCCGTCAC